AAATTATGAAAAAAAAAAAAAAAAATCTTTCAATGAACTCATCATTCTATTGTGGAATACGCATACCCCGGCGTCAGAAGCTTGAATTTCCTATGGTGACTTTTTCCTCGTGGCGTACGAGAACGTAACATCTCACGTTTCGTGAATGGAAGGAACGGTACAAAAGAAAAAGGAGAAAGGGATGTATATGATATTCCACGATCGTTCGCGATGAACGAAACGACGCGCTCTCGACGCACTCCGGTCGATTCGTCATCGTCAACGACGACGGAGGAAGTGAACGGGTGGAGGGTTGGGGACAAGTTAAAGTATTAAGTAGCCGTCGCTGCGTCCGCTGTCAGTCTCCGCTCTAATTAATCGTAATTGACGGCCGCGCGAAGCCTCGCACATTGCTCGCAGCGTGCACCGTGTATTTCTCTCTCTTTCTCTCTTTTTTCTCTATCTTCTTCCCTCTATCTCCTTGTCTCTCCTTGTTGCGCATCGTGTCGTGCTGCATAATCGTTCCGAACCTCTTCTTCCGTTCCTCACTCAAATCTGTTCGCGAACCACAGTCCACAATGTCTATCTGATTTTTCCAGCATTTTTTATTATTACATGTATATACTTTTGTTTGAAAGTTTTGGAATACCAAGCTTCAAATTTAGTTTAAATTCAAATTTCTTTTGAATGTAGTTTAAACTTAATCGAAAGCTAATCTCAATTTAACTTATTCTAACTTTAGTTTAAACATAACCTATAAATCTAAATTTAATTCTTTATATTTATTTTTAATTTGTAAAAATCTTTTTAAGATTAATTCTAAATTTAAATTCTCATACTAAAACTTACTTATATTTTGTAATTCTCATATTATTATAATATTATCAGATTTTTTATATATTTTTTATTTGTGATTTATTTTTTATGTTCTCATCCTTGTTGAATATTAATATGCTAGATTAAATATTGATAAACTTCAAGAAAACTATATACTAATTAGAATTTTTCCCAGTGATGGAATCGAGCAATCTACTTTTAGAAGTAGGACAAGGAACTTATGATTAAACCAGAACATGAATACTAGAAACATTGCTTCCATTACCTCGACGTCAAACTAATTTCGATGGAGATGCCGTTAATTGCTCCAAATGCAAGCTATTATAACTGGACGTCTGTGTTCGAGATTCCAACGGGCGGATGGCTGAAGATAGACCAGAATTACATAACATTGTGCCCAATTTGCATGATTAGTTCACCCATTTTTCTTCCCCGTCCGGTCGGTTCACACATGGTCCACGCGCTAGATACTGGATTCTCACGGTACGTACGCCAATTGGAGTCAACTCATCTAAATACTCGCACTGCCCACCATTTGACGAAGCACGAGGAGGCCCATTATGTAACCAACGTGGTCAATTTTGCCCTGCATTCGACAATTGTTCCTTGTTCCTAGGGTATAAGCGATTCGGAACTGCTTACATTATATATATCCCTAAAATGATAAATATATATATAGTTTTTGGTAGATTATATCTATGCTGTACTAAATTAGTAATATTAGATATGGAATCTTTTTTTATATAAATTTAGAATAGTAAAATTATTATTAAAATAGTTTATTTTATCCAAAATTATTCTTATAAGAATGATTGAAGGTTTATATTTATTTTTGAAATCCAGATTTTATCTGAATGTTATATATTATGAATCTTTTCTATGATAGAAGCAAATACAATATAATAAATAATATAATATAGGTACTACATACCATATTTCTTTTAAAAATTCTTTAACCTATAAGCACCGCAATAAAACCGCGAAATCGCATTGTGTAATCATTGGTTGTGAGAAATGTGGTTTTCAGAAGCAATCGATGTTTGATAAATAATATACAAAATTTTTTAATGATCGAAAAGAAATTTGAATTGATGTTGAAGAAATTATTTAATTATACACAACACAGATTACAATTATACAAATACACAAATAAAATGATTGTAAGATCTTTAATTGAAATGCATCCATAATAAAAATGAGCTCATTCTGCACATATGTTACGTTAACCTAATTTAACCTCATTTAGAATCATATAAAACGAAAAGAAAATTTCGCAATATAGAAAATCGAGCAAATGAATTATCATAATGACATCCATATTTTATAATTTCGTGTATATATATACTAAGATTTATTAAATAATAAATTTATTAAATAGTACGCACAATGATTAATCGTTCATACGTGTTTTACGCAGGTTAGGAAGTAGCGATATATATCAAAAATCGAAAACCGAAAATCAAAGATCGATATATCGAATTCGCATGTTACGAATCGAAGCTTCAACGCAATGATATGGTTTTCGATTTCTGTATTGAAACATGATTCTCAGTGGGGTAGGTCAACGATGTGGTATGCGTATAATGTGTGTATGTATGTGTGAGCATATGAAAGGATATACACACGTTGATATCGAAAGCAGAGAATAAATGTGTAATTTGTCATAGGAAAACAACGTCCTTCAGTTGTTGCGTTGGTAATTCTGAATGGATCAGTGACTGAAAGAGATTCTAACAAGTTCACGCATATATTAGATTTGCAACATAAATGTCTATTTGGAAATGTTAATTCTACTTCTATCTATTTTATCTATATTCTATAAATAATATATTGATACATGTGTATTCATAGTGTTCTCATTTATTAGATCACTTTATCGCGAATAAAGATATTAGAACGATTAAAAAGTCAATTTTCCTAATTTCGATATTGAATCTCTCCAACCATAATCATATTACAAAGTTGTCCTTTCCACGATACCGCTTGCAACGGTGAAGCTGCGGCTGTCCGCTGCACCGCTTAATTCCTGTCTAGAATTACAAGCAGCCAACGATCAACTCCACAGTCGCTCACCTGACACTGTAACTCACATACTCTCCTATTTCTATGCAGACTAAATTTTATTCTGTTAAAATGTTCACATATTTAAAATGCTCATAATTCAATTTTTAAAACTATTTAATTTTTTAAAATTAAAATTAATAAAATAAACAAACATTTTTCAACATTTTTGCAAATTCTATATCACATCACTAACACCAATAAAATGAAAAATAGATTTTTCTTTTTCACTTAAATCATCTAACATTATTTTAAATATATGTTGCTTAATTTTAAAATTAATTCATTTTAATTAATTTTTTTAATTCTTTTTAAAAAGTTTTTTACTTTCTAATCTTTTCTTTACACTTTTAACAATATAAGGAATAATTTATGTATTATAAAAAAAGTGCTAAGTTTTTTCTAATATAATCCAACATAACCTCATCAAAAAAAGAAAGAAAGAAAAAAAGAAGAGAAAAGAGTTATCATAACGAAATTATGTTTGCGTAGTCACCTAATCCCATAAATTTCACCCCAGGAAACTGGCGCACGCGTATCAACCCCCATAGTGTATTCTTTCTTCGTGTTTCATTGGTCGACCGACTGGCCAATCGTCTGCACGAAATTCCATGGTGTCATTGTACTGAAAGGAGGAGATCTTCGACATATGTTGGTGGGCTCGAGGTAGTTGGGAATTTCTATGAAGCGTTGAATGAAATTAGGGTAGATGCGGCATATTGTATACAACGATACAGGGAATTAAGAGAATGGTCGTTTATATGTCTGACATTCAATTCTCAATGATTTGAATAAAATTAAAGTAATCCTTTATTTGAGACTCAACAATTCTAAGATAAGAATTCAAACATATATAAAACAACTTTGCAGCAATCAGTTGAATTAATCTAAAAATCTAATTTCATACAAAACAATTAATGTGAATATCGTAACATTCTCATCTCTAAAAGTTTAAATTTTAATTCTAATTTATCCTATTTAAATTATAATCAATTCTACAATAAAATTTAATACTCAAAACCACTTACATTTATACGATGAGTTGTAATTTTCCTCTATTAGATCAAACTGTTGAAACTGTTTATAGATCTGTTGATATATCGTATCAGCCAAACATAGATCGGTCCCATGGGTGCTTGACGGGGGCACATTACCTCTGTCACGTGTCGATCCATGGAGAAATTCGATTCATAAATGTCAAACACGTGCTATAGATTTCACTAGACGGCCATTGTATCGGTCTCTCTGTGGTGTCGGTGACAATTTCTGACTACGTCGATAATAGCGAGCCGAATGATAGAATAGATATTTCTATGACTATGAAAGATGGCGCACAACAGCAGACGTGTACTATATAGAAGTTCGAAAACGCTTCCAGCTTAACGTTCTATCTTCGATACGATCGGTAGTTACTTAGCACTTCTCTGACGCTCGTTCGATCGTTATCGTCGCTTGCGAACCGGCCCTGCCCCCCTCGTTGGCCCGTTAAATTTATTGCGGGCCCCTGCGGAAAAGAGGCTGACGGCCCATCTGCATTCCCCTTTCTTCCTCTTTCCCCCCTATCCTCCAGCACTTCTTTTCTTTCATCTCTAGTTGAAATGTGTTATACGTACGATAATTCCGGGGGAGATGGACGACGAAAACGTTTCGAATTTAAATATTTTGCGAATATGTTAGTAACTTATATAGTAATTACCGACAATCTTTTTTAACATATGTAATTTATTATAACGCAATATATATCTTTGGAAGCAATGAAAAGTAAGTGAGAATTTTAGGTTATGGTTTGTGTCTCATTTATTGTTGCAAAAATTTCTCTGCAATATCAATATCTGTATGTCAATATCTATTAAGAATTCTACTTTGATGTGAAATGAAGTACAATATAGAAATAGTAATCTAAATAGAAATACAATGTTTTTTTTAATTATATAATCCACGAAGAAATAGTGAGGATCAATCAAAAAATTTATTATATTCATTATTTTTATATCAAAATTATATCTCATAACATGTGATTTTGTTTCTCTCAAAAATTTTTAATTTTACGAACTAATTCTATATCAATACAATATTTCAGGTATAACAATAATTTTCGGTGAATCTAGAATCTAGAGATTCGGGAACGACCGTTCTAAGAATTTTAAAGTTTTTGAATTTTTCATTTTTGAAGACGAGAGATTATTGCTGGACGTCGACCGTCTGGACCATTTACATTTTTACATATTAACCAAGGTTGATCATGGTTCAGGATAAAATGTTTGTGAGGTTAGGCTAAAATTGAGTAAAAAAATATTATTAAAAAACGTGATAAATATTTAAGCCAAAAAATATGAAAGACAATCGAAGAAAAATTAACTATTAATTACAATAATATAATATTATAATCATTCAATATTTGAAAATAAGACAAAATTGGAAAATTTTTATAAAAAAGGTTAGAACTTAATATAACTTAATATAATATACTTACTTGTTTTTTACCATAAAGTATCTATCTAAATATAGAAAAACTATTTTAATAAAAGTAACAATAAATAAAATTAATTATTAATATCTTTAAAATGATTTTTTGACAATAATATAAAAATTTTTTAATCCTAAATTTTTTTTACATTTATTAAATACAGAAAGTTTAATATTTACTATACATAAATCTTCACATTTTAATTTCTTTTTTAATTATTCTAAGATATATGATTGGCGAAACGATCGAAAGAAAAGCAGAGACCTGTCGAGGTCCAATTATTCGCGAGATTCGGTTACGAGAAGTAACGTCACGCGTCAAGTCAGGATGGGAGAGCAGCACGAGGGGACCTAGGAGCGTCGACACCATGGAGGAGAGGGAGGATGTAAGGTGACACCTCTGGGACAGGTCTGGCTTCCCGTCAAGAGCCCGTCCGAGATAATCATATTCATAATTCGCGAGTTCGCGGAACGTGCACCCGCGTCGTGCAAGAAAAGGACATTGTGGCGAAAGGTGACAGGTTATTTTTATTTTAACCCTAGAAAAATTTACCTTATAATGTGTATCCTTTCTCTTTTTCTCTCTTTCACTTTCTGGTATTAAAATAATCGATGATAATCAATGATCGTTATTATCAATCATTTTCTTTATTGAGAAAATTGTACTTACTTGTAATTATGCTTTCTCTTTTTCAGACATAGATTCTTCTTGTTTCAGGATTTGAAAAAAATTATATAAATGAATAATTGTTTCATTGGATGAAATGAAAAATTGAAAACGAATGAGAATAAAACAAATCCATATCACAAGACAAATAATTAAACATATATACAAATAATCAATTTCTAAAAATTAAGAACAAAACAAAAGTTAATCTATTTTCTAAAATAAGAGCAAAGATATAAATAGAGAGAGATTAGAAAGAGACACGCGTGACTGTGATCCTCCGTACACGCAGTTATGGGCACGCTTAAAGGTCCCGACTGCGTGTGGGTCCGCGGATACGAGGACGTGTGGATGTCCAGGCGGGGCCCTGGCCCTGCTTGTAACCCGACACCAAAAGCTTTGGCTCCCCTCTCTGCGCCAACATCCAGCGCACAGAGTGAGACACAGAGTACGTCAGGCCCCCTTCGGTCCATTCGTTCATTCGTTCGTTCACTGCGATCCTCACGACCCAAAACTAAATCATAACCGTATTATGCGGACCGACAATAGGACCGCTCGCTATACACCGAGAAGCCGCCTCTAATCCGCCACTCCGTCGACATCTTGCTCCCGATGCTCCCATCTTTCCCTTTCTCCCTTTTATTTTTTCTTCTTTTTTTTTCTGTCTCTATCCCTTTTCATCATTCTGTACCACTTCCCTTCCTGGTGTTCCTTTCTTTTCTTTCCATCTTTTTTTTTTCTTTCTCTTGTTCTTCTTTATGGAAGAGTAGCATTGTCTTATCATCCGGCTTCCACAATTCTTTCAACGTTTCAATATTGCTTCTTAAGAAGAATATTTTTATGCATTTTGATAATGATTATTGACGTATAATTTCCAAATTATATTTTCACTCTTTTCTCTTTTTAATCTTTTTTTCACAGTTAACACTCAATTCTTTTTTAAATCTTTTCATAACTGAATCTTTCTAAAATTCCTTCTCTAATCTGTGTGTTTTCTTTTGCAGCAAGACCCCCGAGAACGAAAAGGACTGGTTGATAGTCGGAATTAAGCGATCTGACAAATTGTCGGGCAAAGGGTAAAGACGATCGGCTCGAAACGCGAATCAAGATAACCAACACACGCGCACGCCAATCCCACCTTTGGAACTACACGACATCAGGGTTCACCACTTCAAACTTGCCCACCTACGATTTTCCAGAAAGATTCCCGTTGAATCTTGGATATTCTATGAAGTCGCGGTTGGTTACAAAAAAAGGGGGTGGTCGCGATTTATCTCGACCTCGAGGTCCGCTCGAGCTCTGCATCGCGGTTAAAACGTCGGGGACGGAATTTAAATTTCACAAATTAGTCCGTCCATTACACCCTCGGTGTAATCAGGTCGGATGATCTCGAACACTCGCCCCACCAAGTTAGAGGTTTCGCTCTTCCACCTCCTTTGCCTCATTCCTCAGCATCCTCTCTGCCTCCGAGAGAAGCCTCGTCCACACGAGGTGAACGCAGTTCCTGGAAAGCGTGGGTGCCTCTTCCAGGCAAACAGGATCAGGATCTGGGCCCTCACAAATCATAACGCGGATGCACCAGAGATCCCGCATGGAGATCCCTTACTGCTCTTCTTCTTTCTTCTCGCGCGTATTCTCTTATTCCGAATATTTGCGCTCCCGAAAAGAAGTTTCGAATGATGATCAATTGCCAAAAGATATGGTTTTCTATCGATTTTCGATAAAACTTTGCTCGAGTTTCTTGTTTCAGGAAATATCTTTTGTAGGTTTTAATGGAAATTTATGTTCAATTAAAAGTTGATTAGAAGTTGATTTTATCGATTTTCGATAAAACTTTGCTTGAGTTTGCTGTTCTAGGAAATATCTTTTATAGGTTTTACTGGAAATTTGTATTTGTATATAATTAGAAGTTGATTAATTATTTAGTTAGTGCACAGTTAGTTTCCAATTAATATCCATATTTTTTCACATTTAAAAATATGAAATTAACTTATTCCATGGAATTCAATCCAATTCAAAATTTATATTGTATTTTAAATACTATTTTAAATAAAAGAATTGTTCATTTAATAATACATTAATAAAATCTTACATTACTCATTTATTTTTATTATTAAAGAAGCATAATTTATCATAGGTACAATTTTATTTTTCATTTTTTTTTTATAATTTTCTAAATTTTCTATATTCATTAATTTTTTTCTATATTTCAAAATATCCAGATTTATTTAAAAAATTCTATCAATTCAAGAATTATTTTTATACACTCATAGAATCATCAATATCCAATACTTGATCTTTGTCAGGATTTACGCACTAGCCGTTATCGAGCATTCGTTGATGAAACAAGAAGAAGTATCATACATAAGGGGTGGGAGGAGTACGTATACGTGTATGTATAGGTGGAGGAAGGTTGTTCGTGATCGTTTCTAATGGGCAAGGATTTTCTTACACACAAAAGCCAGTGAAGAGAGTGACTGATCGTCGCAAGCACCGCGAATAAATTACGTGGCAGCCTATGCGGCTGCATAAATTAATTTCAGCCGGTCTGCCCATAAATATTCCCCCCTTCGAAATCGTTCTCCCACCTCGAAAAGCGGTGCGTTCGTCTAAGCAACACCGTGCCGGGACGACTCTCGTCGTGTCTCGTAATTTACACCGATGCCCTGGTTAAATGCCGATCTAACGCGTTCGCCGCCTCCTGATCCGGATAACGTCTGTGGAATATCAATGGGATCTGATCGACGCGTTTTCGATTGCCACCTAAGATGATCCTACCGTGATTTATTTATCGAGATTTAAGATTAGAGATTTAAGGAACGTTCCCTGTTCTTGCTGTTTCATGTTATTTTAAATTGTAAATTTAATTTACCAGAGTATACGTATCTAAATGTTCGATGAGGGAAAGATTTGATTTGCTTTTTGCTGTAAATTATTATATAGAAAAATTATAAATTAATAGATACATGTAATTATTTTATAAGTGACCAAGTTTTGGATTAAAAAAATTAAGGATATTTATGTTCTGTATTATCATAGTCTGATAAGAATACAAATTAAAATGAAATGACAGATTAAAATTTTTTCAAACGACAATCATCTAGGATAAACCTATCTATCAATTTTTACTTTAATTCTTTTTCTTTTGCTTTATAAATATAGTATAGACTCTTTTCAAATTCTGCACACTTAAATATTCCGATTTATAACTTAAAAGGGATAACGTTGCAAATTCATGATATTTTCATCGA